TGGGCAAGAAGGGAAGAGGGCAGAGGCGGCTCCTCAGATGGACTGAGGGTCACAGGAGGGCCCCGTCAGGGCAAAAATCAGCTGCAGACTACTCACAGACCCTCTAGACTAGAGGTCAGCTCCCTCCTGAATCCTCCAAGGGTCTCCCTATCCACACCCAGCCTGAGGCAGAGGCAGGGGAGAAGAGAAGACACTAAGTACACGCTCCCAAGGAACAATCAGATCTAGGCCTATCACTTTTTGTTGCCTTCCAAGCAACGGGTACAAATTAACTTTGTACTCACTCTTTCTGTGTCCAATTTTCAAGTATCTGAAGGGTAGCCAATTGCAATGGGGATAAGACTTATCTCCTCCCTTGGCCTAAAATAAAAGCCTCCCACAATCTGACACCACCCTACTTTTCCAGTCTGATTTCATAACTGCCTAATGTGAATGTTATACTCCTGTCCTACTGGACACACCACCATGCCCTATAATATACCTACATATACCTCACTGGCTTAACTTACAATGTTCCTTATGCCCAGGAAATCCACCAATCAAGTTCTGGCTCTGCAAGGTATCAGCCCTGTGCCTGTGGGCAAGCAGCTTTCTAACCCATAAAGTGGGAATAATAGGGATTGGACCTGTGATTTCATTAGTTTAAGAAACTCCCTTCTACCAATATAGGTCAGTAACTTCTCTTTGACATACCATCTTTTTTTTTTTTTAAAGAAGTCAGGATTAGGTGACTTGCCCAAGGTCACATACCTAGTAAATGTCTGAGGCTGGATTTGAATTCAGGTCCTCCTAAGTCCCAGGATTAGTGCTCTATCCACTGCACCACCTAGCTGCCCCCAACTTATAGTCTTAGAGAAAGTTACCTAGAGCACTAGGAGGGAGAGTCAGGCCTCCCCTGACTCCAGACCCAAGAGGTCCTTCCTTGATGCCACACTTTGTCTACTCTGAGTCACTGGAGTTATGACTTAGGAGGGCATGATGGGTAACAAGGCGCTTGGGAGCCAGAAGATCTAGGTTTGGATATTGGCTCTGCCAGTTACTAACCCCATGCCCTGAATTACCTACCCTCTCAGAGTCCATGTCTTCTCTACAAATGATCTCAAAGGCCCCTTCCAGCTCTTAACATTGTGAATCTGTGATATAAAGATACAAAAAAGGGCCCTAGCTGCCACCAAAAGGAATTGATAAAAATAGAACTACTCTTTAACTCTTACCAGTCTTTTGGGGAGTAGGGAAAAGGATGGTAGATAAGAGATTCATTGATTCTCTCTCCCTCTCTTTCTGTACAGTTATATATATATGTGTGTGTGTGTATATATATATATATACACACATATATACATGTATATATGTGTGTATGTATACACACATATGTACAGATATAGCTGCTAAATCAATGTATCTCTATATTGAGAAACAGATATAGATATAGAAAAACACAATGCCTAGGGCAACATGGGGGTGTTTACAGTGGCTTGATGGCTAATATACATATATGCACATATAAACACACACATACATACACATATATAGTATATATAATGCCATATATACATATCCATATATATACATATGTACACATAAACACACACATACATACATGAGAAGCTAGGTATCATCTGATTCAACTGGGAGCTTTTTCCCTTCACCCTGCCAGGCCTCAGACACAGGTCCTCTGACCTCAGGTTAAATGTTCTCTCTACCATAAGATATTGCTCTTTAACGAAGGCTGGGATAAGTCCCTTGCCCTCAGTGGGCCTTATGGAGGTCAAGTGGACCTCAGTTTCCTGATCTATAACACGAAAGGGTTAGACCAGATGGTCTCTCAAGTGACCTCCTCTAGCTTTGATAGTCTTTGATTCTGAGATGGCAAATGGTCTCTACCTGTTACTAGGGTGACAGCATGAAAAAAGGGAGCTGGATTGGGAGGTCTGAGGACCCAGGTTCAAATGCTCTGGTTACTCCCTGGGTGACTTTGGACATGCTACAGCATCACTCTGGGCTTGTTCAAAAACGTCTCTTCTAGCTCTTAATCTCTGATCCCATGTTCAGTAATGACTCTATTGAAAGGGTATCATCACAGATAGATCATCTCAAGCACAGGGGTACATAAGAAGCTTGTTCTAAAAAAGAGCCAATATGGCGGTGTGTGTGTGTGTGTGTGTGTGTGTGTGTGTGTGTGTAAGTACACGTGTGCTTTCAGGTCATTAGATGAAAATCTCAATTTAACACCAGAAGGAACTACAGCTCAGCCACCTGTGGCGAAGACTGCAAAACTCACTGATGATTTACATGTGACACGTAACCTGCAGCTGTTTTTCAGATGTCCAGATCAACTTTGAATCTGCCATCTTCTGCAGTAAACAATTAGAGGAAGACAAACAAGAGAATCAAAACTCCAGGACACCAAGTACCCTGGGAACAAAAACCAACCCAATAATGTCAAGGTTGTTGCCAAGGAAGGTAGGGAATCTCTTAACCTGGACATAGAAATTTAGAGCGAGACAGGATGCTTCTTTTACAGATGAGACTGGAGCCCCGTAAAGTGACTCACCTAAGGTCACACAGCTGGACAGTATTAGAATCCAGTTTTGAAACTAGATCCTGACTCCAAGGATGCTTCTTTCCAGTGGTACCAGGCCCCTTTAGAATCACAGGATGTCAGAGCAGAGCTCTCAGATGAGAGCATTTAGTCCAGATGTCCACGGGTAGATTTCAAGTGATCCATGGATGGGTTTTTTTGATAACTATTTCAGTATAATTGGTTTCCCTTATAATGCTGTGCACTTTATTTTACACATTTAAAACCATGGTTCTGAGGAATCCATAGGCTCCTTCAGACTGTCAAAGGGCTACATGATCCAAAACAGGTGAAGATGCCCTTCCATTTTACAGGTAGAAAACTGAAGCCCAGAGGTATGAAGTGATTTGTTCAAAATAGAGCATGGTGGGAGACAGCACTAGATGAAGTCAGAGGACCTGTATTGGTGTTCTGCCTGACACCTACAAATTATGAGACTGTGGGTAAGTCACTTTACCCCTCTGAGACTCAGCTGCCCCATTTGTAAAATGGTAACAATGCTCACACTACTTCCTGGGCTTGTGAGTAAAGTGCTGCCTAAATGTTAGCTGTCATTAGGTGTCGTGACCCCTAGGCCAAGACTTGCCTGGGATAGTTTTGTTTTGGAATCAAATGCAGATATGGAATAGACCTTCAGATACGTTTCACCCTGATTATTCCACTGGAACATATGCCACACTTATGATACAGACACATACACATCAGCAGGACCTTTATAGACAGCAAACCTCAGATTATCAACTCCATCCTGGGGCTGCATCCTCCAGGCCTGTCACCAGGCCCTGGGGAACTTAACCCTCTCAGGTAAGGACTTCTGACCCAGACTTCTTCCTATTCTAATTGACGTATTACACAGCCCCAGCAGGCTTCACATTCCAGCCTGGTCATCTTCTTGCATCCATTTCTGTCAACATACAAAGGTATAGCCCTTCTCTCTTCTACTCCATCTCTGCTTCCCTCCGGGAATGCTGCTAACTGGAAAGGGCACTGAACTCCTCACTGAATCCACTCGATATCTCTGACTTCCCGCTGGGGCCACCACCCAGACCCCACCAGAAGCAGGCTCCTGTCTCATTTTATTTTGGATCCTCAGGGCTTGACATATGTGCTGGTCACATAGTAGGCACCTAACAAATGCACATCTATTCCTTTATTCCTAATCTCCAGGCCTTTCACCCCTTACTCTTCCCAAGCTGCCTGGTTGACTTGGCATTTCACTTATCTGTAGCACTTGATGGACAGCCAGGCCTTCCAATTACGTCTTCTCCATATCAACAGAAATAAAAGGAGCCCAGCAAATTGTCTTTCTCATGGAAGGGCATTTAGGGTAAGGCAGGCATGGATGGGTTGGGATCTGCACCACTGGAGTGGAAGTCCAGAGGGATGGGGACACAGCAACACTGTTGGAGTAATGGGGCACTTGAATAGAACAAGGGCCTCATAGACCTCTCTGGTGGTCTGCCTATGAACTCTTGCTCGGAGTAAAGTTTTTAAATGTATAAAATATTTGGGATTGATTACAAATGGAGCAAATTATATTGAAATATTATCAAAATATTTTTTTAAAAAGTTCTGGAGGTAAGCTCCTTGAGAGCAGGATTTTCATTTATCTATAATAAGATACTTAAGAAATGCACGTTGGTGGATTCCTTTGAAGAAGTGCAAGAAAACGGGTGAAAAACATCCCATATGCTATCTGTATGGTTTTGAGTGGTTTTGCTTAACTAGTTGTTGTGATAAAGAAAAGGCTGGGTGGAGGATGTGGTTTGTGCAGAAATGACTATGATGTAAAAAAAAAAAATCAACCCAAAAGATATCAATAAGTCTTTGGAATGATGATCAAAAATTTTTTTACAACAAAAACAAGATCTTGGAGCCCAGGTTAAGAACTCCGTGTACTTGGGGCTGGGGCAGGAAAGGGAGATGGGAGAGAAAGGCTGGTCACGTGTGAACACCGACGGCCAAAGAAGACTCCTAAGGATAGGGGAAGCACTGGCCACAGTAAGGTTATGATCTTGGGATTTCACTGCTCCACAAGGGGCTGAGGGTGGGGAGGGGAAATCTGTTCTTATCAAAAGGTCAATAACCTTACCGTCCCAGAGTGACAAAAATCTGCAGCCAGGACCCCAAAACCTTCTCCCAGAGTTAACCCAGTCCTTCAGCAGTTCTGTAGAAACCTTTGGTCTTGGAAGGGCAGGAAGGTGCCCTGCTCCCTTCCAAGGGCTGATAGATATAGCAGGTCATCCCCTTCTCAGTTAGAGGATGAGAAGTGAAGTGACTTGACCTGGATCACACAGCCAGCAGTGTCAGAGACAAGATCACACCCAAGTCTCTCTGGCTTGGAGAAGCTGTCTATTCATTACACTGGGCTGCATCTCTGATGCTACAGCATGAGAAGAAAGTGCACACACGAAAAGACTGAAGTGGCACTGAGCTGTTTTATTTCAACACACACAGAATGTAAAGAGGAGACATCTGATGCCCAACTGTGCAAGCGACGAACTTTAGGGTGAGCAAGGCAGACAAAAAGTCCAAAAAAGGTCGGCAACAGAAAAAAATCCGCCCGAGGAGAGAGGGGTTGTACCGGGAAAGTCCTTCCAGACAAGGAGCAGCCTGCCTTTGGCCAAGGGGTGATGGTACTGAGGTCAATACAAGTCGTCCATGAAGGTCACTGTCCAGGGCATCGCTCGGCTCCACATACGCTTGATCTAAAAGTGTGACTACACATAATGAGCTATTAAAATGTAAACTCAAAAACAAACCAAGAATGAAGGCATAAAGATCATCAACGGTTCCAGTAAGGCATCAGGGGGCTGCTGGCTCGGCCCTTTACAGGCCGGGCTGGCACAGTGCATTCTGGGATTCCCCAACAAACCAAACACTCAGAAACTTAGTAAGAAGCCAGCAGCCTCAAGTCAAGGATTCAAAAACTGTCTTTTTTTTTTTTTTTGGTAGTATTTCATATAAAACATGAAATCAAGTTTTTTTTTCTTTAAAAAAGTGAGTATTTTTAGATAGAAAAAATATATGCTTCTCTATTTCATTAAAAAACAAAACAAAACAGGGGCATTCAGTAACACTTGAGGAGACCCCCAAGCTCTGACCGGCCGTCCTGGGGCAAGTACGTTAAGGCAAAGGCTCTTGGGCTTCTCTGCCTCGGCGACCGGCGAGGCCTCGGTCAGTGCGGCGGCCTCTCCCTCACGGTGACGGAGCCATCTTCCATGCCAAAGTAGACTCTTTCAGCCATGTTAATAAAGAGACCCGTATCCACGACTCCTACAAGAGATAAGCAAGACGCAATGTGCTGCACTATACAGACAAAAATGAAAGCTATCGTGAATATTATTGCTGTGGCAGGACTAAATGAGCTAAATGAGATGATCGACAGGCCCTGCCAGCTTCGGTGGTCTATGGTTAAATACTTCCGTTAGTACAATCAGCAAGGGGAGTGATAAAAGCCAGCCTTGGACAAATCATAAGCTCCAGTGGAAGAGAATTTTAGCTCTGCCCCTCTCATGCTGGAATTTCAGACTCTCAGAGTGGGAAGGGACCCCAGATGCTGAATCCCCAAAGCAACGCCACCATCCTTCGCCTGAAAATGACCACCCTGTCTCACTTCTGGACAGCGCTACTTGCTGGCAAGCTTTTTCCTAACATCAAGCCTGCATTCAGAGCCGCTGTCCTAGGGAGAAGGGTGGGGAGGGTGTCACAAACAGAACAAACCCAAGCCCCCTTCCACATGGTAACAACCCCTTCAGTGCCTGAAGACAGCCATCCCCACCCTGAGCCTTCTAGAGTCTGGCCAATCTTCACTGGGCACAGAATCTGACCACCTGCCTCTGAACAGACAACAAAATCCTCCCTCCAGCGTGGCGCACCCAGGACTGAGTACAGCACGCCAGAGCCTTTCTTGAGATAGGCTTCAGTCTATGGCTGACTGACCCCTCATGACCTACCAGCCACACCACGCCCTCCTTGCCAGGGCCTTTCCTTCACCCCTTCGGGGCAGTGCTTAGATGGTTTCGATGATGTCCAGGACCCTCCAGGGAGGTCACGGAGAAAGCTGCTCTCTGAGAAGCTGTTTCTAGAAGGTTGAGCCCCCAGACTCCTTGGTGCCTTGAACCCCTGCTCTATGAACTGCTCTGAGGCTACCCAACAGGCCTCCACCTCGGCTGCCAACTGGATGAGGGCTTCACAAGTTAATTGAAGGCCCCTGCTGGGCCTTCTGCTTCTTTCCTCACCTGTGAAAGGAGGGCACTCCCTAAGATCTCTTCCAGTTTCTTCCACACTCCATACTCCTGCTCCACCATAGAATTTCTGGACTCATGACAAAAATGGAGCCCCAGAATGGAAGTGGGGACTCCTTGTAAAGGAGGTTTGGTCTGACACCTCCTGAGGACCCTTCCCACTAATTCTGACTCCCTCACTCTCAGGTTGGAGCCAAGTTCCTCTACCAGGCTGCAGGGAATTTATCTTTTTAAAGAAACTATAATGAGATGAACCCAGGCATGAGGAGCTGCGGGGTTCATGGTTCCTTTCAAGAAAGACAATGACAAAACAAAGGAAACCTTTAGCAAAGCTCAAGAAGGATGGTACACGGCCTAAAACTCATGCCCTAACAGACAAAGAACTGGGCACATGGTGCAGCAGTGGAGAAGATGAGACTGAGACCCAGTAGAGGTGGCCCCTGGAAGAGAGAAGGGACCCCAAGAACCACAACCAGAAGCAGCAGGTGGGAACTGCCAAGGCTGGATGCCAGGACAGATGTCCTACCAGTCAGAGCTGTCCAAAGATGCCTTTGTGCCCTGGGGGGTGGAGGCTGCCCCTCACTGGAGACCTGCAGGCTAAGGCGAGCTGGGTACTCTTTGGCCATGCCATCCAAGGGATTCTGGTACGAGGTACAGGCTGTGCCAGACGGCTTCAGAGACCCCTTCCAGCAGAGTCCGTGATGCTGGCACCAAGAAGACTAGCAGTTCCCTGAGAGCAGGAACTACCTGCCTCACTCAGTCATTTGGATCTCCAACGCCAGCACCTGGCACACAGTAGGACCTGACATAAAAGCCTGTGGACTGATTGCAACACAATCCTGTCCAGGCCAAATGCTGTGACATGAGGGAACACGTGTGGGATTTAGCAGCAACAAGAGAAAACAGAGGGAAATAGAGGTTCCGGTCCTGCCTCTGACATACACCAGCTGGGTGGCTCAGCCATGAAATCACACCTCCAATTGTCCCCTCCAAAAAAGGGCAGAGACAGGCTGACGTACAACCAGGAACCAGCAAACCAAAACATTAAGATCCTTCCTAAACTGGGGGGCCCAGAACTGAACCCAACATCCCAGGCATGATGTCAGCTCCAGAAAAGCTGCTAGGGCTGGGAGGAACGGGGTTAATAAACTACTAAGTGTAAGCTCTCACTAACTGAAGAAGCCCTCTGAGGCCCAAGTCTATTATCACATGAAAAAACCCCAAACTTTCCCCTCTGAAGTGTAAACTCTTAAGTTCTAGGATATAATCTCCTGGACCAGGGTTGGGGAGAAAAGAGTGAGCTCTGGTGACCCAGGCCCTCAGCCCTAATTGAATCCACACTCACTCTTCTGTGTCTGGTTTCTAAGTGTCTGAGGGACAGCCACATGAACAGGGATGGCACTTCTTGTAGCTGGTCCCAGCATCACGGGGTAGGCACTGCAGAGGGGCAGCTCTGGGACAATGTATCAGGGAGAAGTGCCTGACAGCTAAGAGCTGCCCAAAGTGGGATGAGCCACCTCCCTGGGAACCTCTGGCAAAAGCTGGACAACCATCTGTGGATACACTGGAGTTGGGCTTCATAACCTTGTCTGTGCCACTGCCCAAAGTGGGATGAGCCACCTCCCTGGGAACCTCTGGCAAAAGCTGGACAACCATCTGTGGATACACTGGAGTTGGGCTTCATAACCTTGTCTGTGCCATGGACAGCCCGAGGAAGCCTAGGGAGCCCTTCTCAGAATCATGTTTCAAATGAATAAAATCCATAGTATCACAAAAGAGATCGATTCTATTGAAATACAAATACCAACACATTTTAAAAAGCTACTTGATGGCCCCCAGGGTCAGAAGCTCTGGCGCAGAGGAAGGTCCTCTGTCCTTCTGCACCTACTGCTACTCTATGTCCCTGATAAACCCAGGCATCTCTCATGACAGCACAGCCTCAGAGACAGCTTCTGGGTCAAGAAGGAACCAAACACTGCTGGGATAAAACTGCCTGCACGTGGCACGTTAGTGCCTTCTAGCAGCCCACTTAGCCTCACTTTACTCATCTGTAAAATGACAGGGCTGGACTGGATGAGGCTAAGGACCCCACCCTCTACTTACTGGAGTCCAACAGTCAAGCCAGGAAGCCTGGGCTCTGGGCAGGAGAAATGCCGCCCCCTAGTGGAGACCAAGAGGAATTCTGCTGAAAAGATGCAGCCTTGCGTTCCCCAGCATCTGGGGCTACCTTTCATCATTCAGGCTCTTACTGGGCTATCGCCGAGCCTTCCGCTCTCTCCTTCCTCCCCATTCTGGGGGGCCCCTCTGCTGCTCTTCAGCGCCTCTATCAAAGGGCAGATGGGTAAGAGAGGGAGGCAATCATGTTCAATCCCATTCTCTGACTCCCTTACATAGAGCCCATAGCCCTGCTTCTTTGTAGGAGGGAGGGGCTGTGGGTGCGGAGCGCTGCCTACCCACCCAGATCCTTCAATCTCACCATGGTGATGAACTGCGCCCCCTTTCTAAAGCCTCCATTCTAAAGGCTAATTTGAGGAGGGAAACATTGGGAAATGAAGGTGATATGCTTTGAATGGTTGGGTGAAGAGGAGGCTGACACTGGTGTGAAGGCTCTTATGATCACGTATGAGCATGGCAAGTTTCCATGCTTCTCCCACTCCACCCCACCCCAGCAGTGAGAACCCCCTGGGGTCCTTGGGGAAGGATTCTTCCCGCCTGCTTGCCTGCTCGGTACCTTGGTTTCCCCTTTTACAGAGACCAAGGCCTGGACCTGCTGGTACAGGGAACTCTCAGGAGAGGAATCTCAGGCACCTTCTCTGACTTAAGGCCCTTCAGGAGTTGCTGACACCACTGAGAGGTTGGGGGACTTGCCCACCAGGGTCCCACAGCCAGTACGTATCAAAGGCAGGACTCATACCCTCCTCACCTCGGCTTTGAGGGCAGCCCTCACATCTCCACAGGCTGACTCCTTATGTGATAGGGAGAAAACAAATAAATATAAAATGAATGTTTCCGCCTCCCTACAAAGTAGGGGCAAGAATTAACAAGGCCACCCTCCGAGGCAGGTCCCACCAAGAGCTCCGACAAGGCAGTGTACATGGAGCAGCTATTCCAAATACTGAAGACAGCGAGCCGACCTTCTCTACTAAGCACCGTTCTGGAGCAGGAGCACACAGCCAGGGACGCGCCAGCACCGCTCCTCAGTGAAATTCCTTTACTCAGCTTCTGTTTGTCCAGGTAGGAAATGGTGTCGCCATGTCCTGCCTCTAATCCAAGTCAATGGGGTATCAGACAAGATCATGTACTTTTTAAATACATGGAATAAACTATATGTATGTGTACACACACACACACATCTTCAAGTTCCTAGGAATAAAGAGTCACAAGACAGCCCCTATCCACACCCCCAACATTCAAATGGCCTCAGAAAGTTCATACCCCAGGAGGCCCAAATTCTGACACCTGCAGAATTTGAAATAAGAAGACACAGAAAGTTCCTAAAAACTAAAGGAACAGTTTGGACAGTCTCCATTTTTTCTCCATTTTTAGCACCTAGGACAAAGCTGTCAAAGCTCAGGTCTGGTGTACACACACACACACACACACACACACACACACACACACACACACACACACACACACACACTCTCTCTCTCTCTCTCTCTCGCTTTCTCTCTCTCTCATGCTCTTTTGGCCACCTGCTCTAACACATACCTGAACCAAAACCATGCAGGTTTGCCTGAAGACCTGAAAGGACAGGAGCTGGCCACCTCCTGAGTCGTTCTGCCTTTTTAAGGACATTGAGGCTCAATCTAACCCACACTGCCCCTAGTTCTGCCCTCTAGGGCCAACATGAAGAAACCCATTCCCTCTTCCATGAGGCAGCTTGGTACACTAGAAAGAGCCTTAGGTCTGAAGACAAAGGACCTGACTTTGAGTCCCCCCTCTGACACTCATTACACGTGTGAACAGGGCCACCGCCTCAGGCACCTCATTTGTAAATGAGGACGGCTGGATGAGGCAGCCCCCCGGGTCCCTTCCAGCTCGAGCAGCTATGTCCCCCGTAGTCTTTCCTTCTTTAGGCTCATCATTCCAGGTCGGGGCATGGGAATGGGGACCAGGACCCCGGGGGCTCCCCCGGCCAACACTGCTGGGTTACCTGGGATCATTTTTATGGCTGTGTTCACTTCACTCCATTTATGCACCCGGTCAAACTTCCAGTCCAACAGAAAGTTTCCATTATCCGTCACCACAGGGCCCTAAGAAGAGACATTCATGTTAATGAGGGCCCTTGGGACGAGGGGGAAGCAGAGGCAATCTGGCTGTGCCTCAGCAGTTAGCCACCAGAGAGAGAGAGCAAGAGAGCGAGAGAGGAAGGGGCAGTGAGCAGCCGGCCGGCCAGCCAGCCAGCTGCAGACTGACCCCAGGAAATACCACTGGTCACTTACTGCCTTGCGCTCGGCCATCCGCAGCTCTGCCACTCCGCCGAACATCCGGGACAGGGCCCTGGTCACGGGGACATATGCCATTGGGATGACTTCAATGGGAATTCCCTTCAGCCAGTGGTCACCGAGATTCTTTGAATCTTTCCTGCAGAAACCAGTTTAGACAAGAAAGCCAAGATGACTGCTCTTAGCACCAACAGCAACATGCTTAGTGGAAATCAAACGGCCCGAAATCTGTCCCTATCTCAAGAACCTCAGCAATGTGCAGCATGTCAGTAACCAGCCTGCAGAGGAGGCAGGAAGGAGGAGCTGCCTGCGTCCATGTTACAGGGCCCCACCAGCAGCATCACCACAAAAACCCCTAACACAAGCCTGACATTCATCCTCCTGCTAACCCACCCGTCTGCAGGTTTCCCTACATTCTGGCTCCCCACCCCCGGGAGCTCCCAGGGCAGGCTGACCACCAGGAGGTTAGAGGATTTGCTCTGGGCCCCCATCCTTCCTCTGGGACTTTCAGAAATCACTCAGCATCTTTGCCTTTGCCTTTATTTCCTTATCCACAACGTGGGAATGAGACAGCCTTACCCTCAGTCAGCCTACACGCTATATGTCACCAAGACAATGTCAAACATACACACATCATCTCAGGTCTTGCCTTACCTATAATCAGCAATAACAATGAAACGTTTGGCATAGCCAGCAACAATCTTCTCCTGAGTCAGACAGCCTCTGAAAGCAGGAAGAAGCAAAACCAAAAAATTAGGGGGAAATTAAATTAACGTGAAAAACAGACGCTAAGGTCAGGTCTGGAGAAACTTAAAAGCCAATCCCCAACCTTTCTGGGAAATGAAATGCTTAGCTTCTAAAAACCATTTCCAAGCCCCTGAAGCTCTCTTGATGGACCTGGCTGTTACAAAAGCATTAGTGCATGTTTAGAAGGAAAGGTTAGACAATAGCCCTCCTAAGAGAAAAAGGGTAGAAAGCAGAATTCAGCTCAACGTCAGGAAGAACTTCCAAACCCTCAGAGATGTGTGTCGCTAAAGAAGGACATTCTGGGAGGTAACAGGGTCCTCCCCTCTTCCCAGAGGTCTTCAAACAAAGTGCCAATGATTACGTCCCAGGTAACAGTTTCCTCATCTGCAAAATGGGGTTACACTAGACAGCCGCTCAGGGCCCTTCCAACTTTAATTTAGGGTCTTATGAATTGGTTCCAATCTGTTACAGAAAGGACATTTTTTTCCCCCAAGTATGCTGATGATAACCTGAGGCCCATTCCAATTCTGTGATTATATATTCTTATTTCCAGTCTAATCCAGATGAAGGCACTAACGGCTTTTAAGGTGCCCTGAGCATCTACATGTAACACATGACCCTCCCTCCCACCTCCAGTTCTGCCACTATGGCTCTAGCACCCAAGGCCCATCTATTCTTTGTCAGTTCAGATATTAGCTAGGATAGAGTTAAGCATTCCCCAGCAAGCTTTTTAGGGGGATTTGACATATAGGCAAGGACAATGAAATTCACAGAGACCAGGAAATTTATTTATTTCCCCTGCTACTGAAGAGAATTCTAACTTGGCCATCACCAGGGGCCTCCCCTTTCAAATGGAAGCAGAGAGAGTATCATTCCTCCTACCTGATTCCTAGCTCTGTTCCTGGCACACAGGAGCACTTCATAAATGCTTACTGATAAGTTAGTAGCTAGTAGTGGGCCACCTACTAAAATCAGAAGCTCTCCTGTAAAATGGAGCTGCAGAAAAAATTCTAAACTTCTGAATAACACTGAATGACATGGCCACAGGTCAGGACTAGACCTGCCATCTCATGGAAACAGGGAGCTCCCAGACCCAACACTTTCTCTGCATCTGATGGTCTTAGAAAGCGACCCAGGGCTTGTAAGAGGCCAAGTGACTGCCCAGAGTCAAACAGCTCATGTGTCAGAGAGAACTTGAACCCAGGTCTTCCTCTTCCTAACACACTTTGCGTGTGTCATCTGCAACCTCAGATTCCAGACCCTTCATTTCCAGATGAAGATCTTGTCCAGAGTCATCCAGCTGTCAATCAATGAGCAAATAAAGTACCTACTATGTACTAGTCAACTAGGAATTGGGGGGAGGGGGTACAAGTGCAAACAATGAAACAAGCCCTACTCACAATAAGCCTGCATTCAAATGGGGAGATATGTGTGTGTGTGTGTGTGTGTGTGTGTGTGTGTGTGTGTGAGAGAGAGAGAGAGAGAGATAGAGAGAGAGAGAGAGAGAGAGAGAGAGAGAGAGAGAGAGAGAGAGAGAGAGAGAGACAGAGAGAGAGGCAGAGACAGAGAGACAGAGACAGAGAGAGACAGAGAGACAGAGATCTGAACCCAGGTCTTCCTGAAGGTGAGTTTAAGCCACACTGTACTGTAGTACTACGGCTGAGGAGCAAAGTAAATCCCTTGTCTTCCTGCATTTAGGGAAGGTGGGTAATCAGGAGCTGGGGTGTGGCCAGGGGTAGGGAGGGCCCTAAATAAGGCAGAGCAGTCCAGGCCTCCATTGGGGAATGCTTCTGTCAAAGGGCCAGCAGCTGCCAGGCAGGGATACAGCCCTGCAGGTGGGCCTGGAGAAACCAGAAGCAATTTAGGATCACAAATCTGAAGTTAGTAGATGCTTCATAAATGCTTATTGGCTATGCCAGGCCCAGTTCTAAGTACTGGGGACATAAAGAAAGGCAAAAGACAGCCCTGGCCTGAAGGAACTCCCATTCTAATAGGGGAGACAGCAAGCAAACAGGTACTTATGATATGCGCAAACAATCTATGCAGGATAGATAGGAAATAATAGAGAGGGTGGGAACAATGATAATGATAACAATAGGGATTGGTGGTAATAATAATAATAATAATGATAGGGGTTGGGACAGGCTTCTGGCAAAAGATGGGATTTTGGCTGGGACTTAAGGAAGCCAGGGAAGCTGGGAGCTGCAGATAAGGAGGGAAGAGCATTCCATCCCAGAGGGAAAGTCAGTGAAAATGGAGATTTTTAGAGCTGGAAGAGATCTTAGAAATTACCAGTCTAACCCCCTTCATTTTATAGATAAAAAGGCCCAGTTAGGTAATAACACAAATAGTGGGAGTCAAAGGCAGGATCTGAACCCAGGACCTCCTGCTCCCAATACAGTATTTGTGAACATAATTAGCACTTTCCCAGACAAAACAGCAGAGAATGGCTAGAGGAGAGAGCCCAGGAATGGGTCAAGATAATGACTAAGTCCTAGAAACACCCAGTGGGTGGGGTAAGACAGCAGAAGAAGCACACAAAAACATCTCAGAATAAAAACAAAGGTTCTTAATTGGCACCTAGCAGTTTGTTTTTGTTTATAACTTGCTCTATGGGTGTGTCCCTGGGTCTTTAAGAAGAGATCAGTGGGCTCAGTGGTTTGTTTTTTATAAAAGCCCCAGCAAGGCCTGGGCTGTTCCAGGGCCTGTGAACCCTTCAACCGGAGGTCACAAACTTCTGAGTAAGGCTCAGACCCCGGGTGTCAAGCCTATGTAAAGATCAGATCCGTTTATTCAAGGTCAAGGAAATGCAATTTGGAATGAGGCACTGTCTTACTCAGACAGGGAAGTTCCATGAGGGGAGTTACAGAGGCTATATGCACTCAGGAGGGGAGGTTGTGTATAGTGGGTGGTCAGGCGTCATTCACTGCAGGGTGGCAGCACTTTCCCATAAAAACCACAGGACTGTTTAGGCCACTTTTAGCCAACAGGGAAGGCCGCTGACCTGGCCCCTCGTCAGGGTCACCTGCAGGGTCATCAGACTAGTCGGACTGAAGAGAGGGAGGGGATGCAGAAGAGTCCTAGGAGCTATCTCTGTCTGGCAACAGGGGCAGCTAGAAATTGCTGGTCTCAGCAGATGTTCCCGGGAGCTTACCTTGGGGGTAGGGAGAGACGAGAAACTGCTAGTCAGAATAAGGCAGGGGTCCCAGAGCTTCCCAGGGGGGCAGGGGAGGCTAGGAGCGGATTTACCTCCCATATCATAACCCGTATCAGCGACGGACACACTACAGCCCTGACGAATTCTGAGTACAAATCTGAAGAAATCTGTCTGGTAAAAGATCCTGGCCCACAACACTCACCCACCACCTTTGATGAGATTGAGGTCAGCATCTACTTCATCAGCACCATCAATAGCAAGATCAAGCTGTTGGGAAAGAAACCAAGGTGGATTACAGAGGCAAACGAAGTCTGAAACCAAGTCAAAACAAATCAGAGAACGGCACACAAGGTGATTTTTAAAAACTGAAAGAACAGAAAAAAACCAAGATTTTGAATAGCTCTTGAATTGACTGTCCATGGATGAGGATTAAATGGTATTACAATATTGGGAATGTGGTTCCAGCCCAAGTTTTACCCACATTTGATGTCACTTCTCCTTCTCCAAAATCAAGCTCTCCCAACTATGTAGTCACTGGAGTTTAGCGCTGGAAGAGACCCTCGAACTATGGGGTACAAGTCCCTGGTTCGGAACCCGCTCCAGGCGGCCTGTTCTTTAAACAACTCCGGCCGCAGGCAAGTCAACCTCCAGTTATTTCAGCCCTTCTCTCTGCAACCCCGAGGAATGAACTGAATCGGCCCCTCTGCTGCCAACCCTGGCCTCCTGGGCTGATGGCCACACACGAGGAATCTCCACAAACCTTCCCACACCTCAGCCTACTAGAATGAGCGTGTGCACACACACACACATTCACTCCCACATGCGAGAGAGCTCGCACCCCTGTCCATCACTCCAAGGTAAGAGCCATGGACAGATACATTTACAGTATGGTCTCCTAGTGCATCAGGTAGCTGGGCACAGATCTGATGCCTCAGTAGTTTCCTGGCCTTCCCAATCACTTATTCCCCCGTTCGTGGGATGATGACTCTTGGCCCATGTCCAATTCTCTCTACTCAAACCCTGGCACTCAGTGAGCTCATCTTGTCCGAGCTCACAAACTCAGGTCCCAGCTGCCATCCCCAAGCCACTCAGGCCAGAGACTCAGGTTGGGTCCCTTGGCCTCCAACCAACAGAAGACAAAGCAGGCTCTTCCTCAGTTCTGCCTGCCCACGTCTTTCTGATCTCCCCAGTCTCAATAAGCACTTCTTCCTCACTTTTCCTATCTGCTCCAGCATCCATCCAAAACCTTCTAACTAGCCCGATCTAGTAGTCCCACCTCCACATCCCATACTGACTTCACGGACCTGAGCTGGCAGGGCACTCAGAGGCAGAAATGCTCCCAGCCGAGTGCCTGCCTTGGTGTGAAGGCCTTTAACAAGGAGGAACCCAGTACCTCCCCTCCACTTATAGCAAAAACCTTCTCATTCACCAGCCCCGAAGTCAAGAGGACCCGAGTTCAAATCCAGCCTCAGACCAAACACTTGACACTTACTAGCTGTGTGACCCTGGGCAAGTCACTTTAACCCCAACTGCCTTAAAAAAACCAAAACAAAACAAAAAAACCCTTCTCATTGTTGGTAAGTCAGTCTTCCCTGACATCCTGCCTTGGTTGGGCTCTTGGCACCTTCCTGCCTTTGCTCCTGGGTGGGCTCTCTAGCACCAAAGAAACGAATTCTAAATCTACTACATGAAGCTACTACCATGTCCCTTCTGAATCATTTCTTCTCTCCAGCAAAGTGACTGGTTCCTTTAAATGATCCTCATAAGTCTACAAACTAGTCCCTGGGCTCTAGGGCTCCTCACTCTCTCCCAAATAGACAAAGCATGTTGGGGTCTGAAGGGACTGCAGTCCCAAAGCTAATGGGGGCCACAGCCCTCAGACACAGGGAGGTGATGGCCTCCTGTGCTCTACCTTTCCCGGGCCTCACTGGGTACGGAGTTCAGGACAATTTAAGAGGGACATTGATGAGAAGGGCAGTGCTTAGGAGGGCCACCCTGAGGACTAGCAGAAGGAGCTTAGGCCATAAGAGGCAGGACAAGCCTTCAACCACATGACCAGGTGTTCTGTGGAGGAGGGCTAAGGGGCAGAAGCAGCAAACAAGGTGAACCAGGCTTGCCCTAACAGCCAGAGCTGCCTCCAAGCAGCAAGGGCAGCCTCAGGAGGTGGTGGGCACCCCCTCTGGGCGTACCCAAGCAGACAGGGAATGAGAACCCTTGGGTGTAGTTCCAGTGGGGGCCTCCTTTGGCATGTGGGCTGGGCCAGATGGCTGCTGAGGTTTCACCAACTTCAGCTCAGACCAGAACTGGCCAGTGCTGCTGCCTCTTTTAATCTGCCACAGACCTCAGGTGTGGTTCCCCAAAGCATAGGAAGGAAGGAAAGGGAGGCTGTGAGAAGGATGAGGCCTCCTCCTTACCTCTGGGTGGCGGTCCAGGTCACTTAGGGGTAAGCCGTTCTGAAGAATTAGCTGCCGGGCCTGCACAAATGAACAAAAGGGCCATCATTCACATTTCTTCTGAATTCTTGACACTTGGAACTCCCCCCTACTCCAGTTTCATATGCTTTGCTTTGATGTAGGCTTTTTTCCAAACCCTAATTAACTTATCACATGAGGGTCTTCTCCCCAAGAGGCAAACTAGGAGACGCCGGCCTCTGGGATTGATGGAGGAGGGTGGGAGGGAGACATGGGACCCTTTGTTAAGGCTCCCTTCCAAGTCTCCCTCCTCAAATGCCAGGTAATGTACACGTGAGGGATGGGGAGGGAGCAGGGAGGCCAGTGTCTATCCCAGAAAGAGTCCCCAAGTCAGGTGCCAGGGCTATCACCTGGGGGACCCTGGGTCAGCTCACTCCAATTCTCCAGGCTGTTTCCTCTCTGTCAGAGAGGAGGCTTCCATCCTGTCCAGATCTAAATTCACTGCTCCAGCCTTCCTCCTCCAATGATCCTGTCTCTGTTTTGTACATCCCTCTGTATGTACGTGTTGTCTCCCCAGGCAGACTGCAAACTCCTCAAGGGCAAGGACTGTTCTACCTTTGCCTCTGAACCCCCAACCCCCAGCAGCATGCCTGGCACATATGAAGTCTTTAATCATGACTTTGGTTTGAGAAAGTCACAGGTTGGCACAAACGCCAAACCAGGAGCTCCCCAAACCTGGGAACTGAACTAGCCACGTGACAGAAAGTTTTCTTCTAACCAACCAGACCTAAAAAACTCGTGAAGCCCTGAAAAAGCTTTAGCAAACAGGCTCTGGAAACCCCTCACACAACGGCTAGTAGTAAAGATGACACTGTAAAATCGCACTGATCACTGCCTCCGCTTAACAAAGCATCTTTGTCCAAACCGCTCAGAGGTGAGTCAGTGTGAGTTTCTGAATGCCACCAGGCTCAAGACAAAGCTTAGTGCTGGGAAGGCTCCCCTGCCCCCCATGTAATGGGAACCCCAGCAATCCAGAGCTACAGGGCCCTGCATACAGCCAGTGTTTATTAAATGTCCAGGCATCTAGCCCAATCCTTTCTTTTTACTGATGAGGAAAGTGAGGCACAAAGTTTTGTCCAAGACCACACCAGAAGCCTGTGATCCACCCATTAAAAAAGGTGGGGATGATGCCAAAGAAAAATTGAGAGTGTGGAGAAAACCAGAGCTAATCATTAGCTCCTACTTCTGAGGTCACAAATAAATTGGTCTTGGTTTGCAACTCGAGTCAACAGTTCTCACCTGCTACTGCCCCCCCCCCAGGGGCTGAGGGCTGGCAGAGGGGCTGGTTTCCCTGCTTCCTTCTAGGCCCCCAGGTGAGATGGACCAACAGAAACTGAGGGTTAACAGGGAAAGAGCCCTGGCTCCAGGGACCACTCATTACCTACGTGACCTTGGGCAGGGTAACAGGGAAAGAGGCCTGGCTCCAAGGACCGCTCATTACCTACATGATCTTGGGCAGGGTAACAGGGAAAGAGCCCTGGCTCCAGGGACCGCTCATTACCTACATGATCTTGGGCAGGGTAACAGGAAAAGAGCCCTGGCTCCAGGGACCGCTCATTACCTACGTGACCTTGGGCAGGGTAACAGGGAAAGAGGCCTGGCTCCAAGGACCGCTCATTACCTACATGATCTTGGGCAGGGTAACAGGGAAAGAGCCCTGGCTCCAGGGACCGCTCATTACCTACATGATCTTGGGCAGGGTAACAGGAAAAGAGCCCTGGCTCCAGGGACCGCTCATTACCTACGTGACCTTGGGCAGGGTAACAGGGAAAGAGCCCTGGCTCCAGGGACCGCTCATTATCTACGTGATCTCAGGCAAGCCACTGCACTTTTCTGAGCCTCAGTTTCTCCACCTGTAAAATGACTAAACGTCCGAGATCCCTTTCAGCACCAGATCTGAACCTATATAGAAACCCCGGAGGCTGACTCTGACTTCAATGCTGATCCTAACCCTCATTTTACAGAGGAAGAGGCAGCGCAGCGAGTCAGGAAGCCTGGGGTTCAGGTCCTAGCACTGACTCCTATGGCTACATATGCCTGGGCAGATCACAAAAGTGTCTGCTCTGCACTGGTAGGGGCTCTCTCCTTGGCAGAGTCCCTCACAGCAATGAATCACAGGTCCTGTATAAGCCACGCTGCAGGGAGCCTTAAGGAAGTACCAACCCAAGGAGGCTCTCTAGTCTGAAGCCAAAGACATTCTGAGCAGGAATGACAGGCTCAGTCGGGGCCCTGTATGGCAGCCACAAATGTGGCCCAGAATCACAGTACTGTGGGGCCCACTGGTTCAGAAGGCCAGGTCAAGGCTTAATTCTGCCTGAGGCCTCAGAGGGCATGTCCTGGAGCCCCACTGTCCTAAGTGGTGAGCGCCTCCCAGGACTCACTACTTCTGCACAGCCCTCTCTATGCTCCACATTGGACCGCATCCATCTTCTCTTCATCCCCCTCCTGCCAATCCTGTCCTCCTCCCCACCCCCAGCTTTCTAGCTCTGGGACCATTACCAATACTAGGAAGAATGTCATGTGCTTCACATGATATGACATATCATAATGTGATATCGTATTGCTTGCCTTCTCAAAGGGAAGGAGAGTGACAGGAGGGAGGGAAAGAATTTAGAATTCAAAATTTTTAAAAATGAATATTAAAAATTTTTTCATCTAACTGGGAAATACTTAATGAAATAACTTTTTTTTTAAAGAGATGTCAAGTGACGATGGATTGGCAGGAGACTCTTCTGCTTGGCCTGAAAGGACAAGGATCAGTGGGTAGCTCCACAAGTGAGGCAGATTTTGGTTCAAAATAACAAACGTGTTGCTAGCATCTCTCCTTGTCCCAAAGTGACAGGGGCTGCCTCCATGGCTTGGGGGTCTCCTCTGCATTCCAAGCAGAAACAACTGAATGAACACAGGCAGAAAAGGGCAGAACAAATTTGGGGGAATGGAGAGAGCCCCCTTTGGCTGGTTAAGAGGAAGGTCTGAGATAAGGCTGGAGAGGGTCCAACCTCTCTGCACATCTGTACAAACCATTCCACCATGCTTGCTAAGATGCCAGGGCTACATAAGGCAACTTCAGCAGTTCCTGCCCTCAAAGAGTCTCTGCTGGGGGTGAGGGACACAAAATGCACCTATCTAAGTATATGCGAATACAAGTCACTAGTAGTTGGAGTGTCATGTAGAAAGTGTTGCTTGAGTTGGGTTTGGAACAAAATAAGAGATTCTAAGAGGCTACGGGTTTACAGGCCTGAGGCCCAACCTGCGAAGGCAAAGACCCAGAAATGGGTGGACCAGAAAGCAGGAGGGGAGAGGGGAGTGATGTGCAATAAGACAGTGAAAGGAGGTCCACCCAGAGCCCTGGTCATCCTGTCCTTCAAGGCTCAACCCAAGCGATGATGCCGCCTTCAGGAAGCCCTCCCTCTTTCTCTCAGTTCTCAGAGTTCTCTCCTACCTCAATTTCCCTTGTATACAATAATCTGTGCATAAGGTGTACACATTCACCCCTTCTGACCAAGAGAACACGCTCCTCTGAGGAAGGTTTTCTCCTTTGTCTTTGTATTCCAGTGCCTAGCACAGCGTCATGTATACAGAGGCCGTTTTAATAATTATTTGTTGGATCCAGAGGTAGGTTTGAGTCAGATAACAGTCAACCTTGAATGCCATGGTGGGTGAATTAACCTGTATTTGTTAGACAGTGCAGAGCCACTGAGGAGGGAGCAGATGTGATCAGAGCTTGGAATGGGGGAAAACCCCAACCCAGAGTATCCAAATGCTCACAGAATGAACAAGAAAAACAAAACAAGGGCCACCCCAAGTGTGGAAAAGTCACAGAACCAGGCACGTACCTGAAAGGACGTAGGAATACAGACAACTTTCAGGTTTTCTTGTTTTACTCTTTCAGCTGAGGGGAAAAAAAAAAGCTTTGAATTCCTTCTCCATTTTTTATCTGGAAAGCCGTATGAAAAAAAAAAAGTCAAGATATGCTCCAGACAAATGTTCCACATTGCTGGCAAGTCTAGTCTGAAGGGCTGGGGGTGGGGAGAGATAAACACTAAATTTGAGGTCAGGATTTGAATCCAAAAATCAACTCTGCTCCGTAACAGTGGAGGACATTAGGTAAATCCTTTAACCTGTCGAAGCTGGTCTAAAAAGATGAGGACATTAGGCTAAATGACCCTTCTGATCGTTTTCTTCTCCAAATTCTATGTGTGGGGCAATGGCCCTACTTTTGTGAAGGAAGTTTGGGATTCAGGGAGGGGGACCCAGATCTGTGGTTTCATCAGATGTGTGGAATTCTGAGTCTAGAACCTCTACTCCACTGATGCACCTTTAGCTTGGGACCTCTGGACAACGAGGGGTATATAATGGGCAGGATGTCAGTTCAGATCTTCTGCCAAGGAAGCTGAACGTGGAAGTTCACTTTTGGCCATCAGGCTCAAAATTCAACTTATCTGGCACAAAACTTGCGCATCAAATTCAGAGGATTGAAGTTTCTTCTCCCACTTTGGATCTTTCACCATAAAAGTGAGCAGAAAGCATCAAAGAAAACAGTCCATCTAGTTAAAATTGCAGGCACCTTCAATCTTTAAATCATCCAAAAAACCAAATGTACCCCACACTAAACAAGAGACAGCTATGGGGCTATATGAGAAGACTATGTGTGCTGTCAACAAGGTGGATCGTCTCTCAATTGACATTTAATGACCAAGGGCTCTAGGCCTTGGCTTTGGGGTACTTTGGGAGATGGTTACATCAGCCCCAAAGAGTCATCAGGTTGGTGTTTTATCACTAATGTAGGAAAACAGGTTACTAAAACCTGCTGAGCAGCCACCAATGCAGAATAATCCCAGGGCCTTGAACACACTGAAAGGGCCAGATCAAAATCTGGGGAGTGGCCTCAAGGACTCCAGGGTAAAGAGGAAACACAACTGGGAACCTGGACTCAGGCCCAGCAGAGATGTGGCTTCATCCACAGGGCCAATCTTCCCCTTTCCAGCCCAAGCAGGTGATCCTGGCTGGACGGGGTCAAAGGCCCTGGCTTGACCTGAGAACTCCCACAAAAGACTGACCTTCCACCCCCTGCCCAGGCACAAATGCACAGGTCACAGCTGGTTCAGAGCCATTCTAGCCAGGTCTGTCAGTACACATAACCACCAACAAAGGAGGAAAGGAAGGTCAGGACAGGGCCCTGAGGCGCAGAGACATTAGCATCAAAAAGGGTTTTTGAGGTACAAGGCCCCACATTGAAATCCTGGCTTTGCCACTCAGTGACCTCTGACAAGTCACATAACCACTGTGGACGTCAGAGCTTTCTTGTCTAGATAACCCTTGCCTTGAATGTCTCTGTGTTTCCGTCTGTTCAATGAGATTTCCTCAATCTTCACTTCACTTGTCGTCGCAGGAAGCGCCCTTTGGGGATAAATCTCATCATCCTGTAAGATCCCATTGTCCTGGGACTCCACCTCCTCCCCACGTAAGGGGTGGGGGTGGGGGGGTCCAGGAATCCCCAAACCTCCACGTCAGGAGGCAATCAGCTCAGAAAATCTCATTCCTCACCTGGCTGCACTACTCAGGGAATCTCTGACTTCCCCCCCCATATCCTGTTTGGGCACATTTCCTCTTGTTAACTTCCGCTTATGTGCCATCTTTCCTCATTGGAGTGTACACTTCTTGAGAGCAGGGTATTTGTACCCCTGGAGCCTAGCACAATACTTAGCACACAGTAGGTACTAAACCTGACGACTGATTTGAGAGGGTTACACCAGAAGACTACTAAGCTCCCTTCCAGCTGCAAATCTAGGCCTCTGGGGGCTCTGGGTCCAATTCTACTCCTCTGATGCTAACATTAGAATCAGTGGCCAATGCCACTCCACAAGAATTTCCCAAGGGTCTACAATGTGCCAGGCGCTACAACGTGCTTAGTGCTGGGAGTCCAAACAGGAAAACCACGGTCCTTGCCTTTAAGAAGCCCACATTCTAAGGGGGCTGGCAACAGGCCCAAAAATGTCCCCCCAAGAAGATGCAGAGGGACTTGTAGATGGAGTCTAGGAGTGAAAGAGGAGCCATTCAGCCTGTCTCAGGCTGCTCCCGCCCCCTCCCAGGCTCAGCAGGGGCCCACCAAACCTGTCCACCCAGTCCCCTTTTCACTTTGGCTTCCCCCACCCGGATAAATCAGCAGCACCCCACCCGGATAAATCAGCAGCACCAAGAAGTGCCCGGGGGCAGGTGGGCAGAGCAGGGGAGGTCTTTGCTAATTCTCTGATAACCTCCAGGCAGTCTTGAGTCTGAGAAAGAGAAAAAAGGGGCCAATGACATACCTATCCTCTGTACGGCATGGACAATGGTGGAACCGCTGCCAATTCCCAGCACTTGATTATTCTGCCAGAGGTAAGGAAGAGCACAAAGACGTCAGTAACTCGCTCCAGGACCGCCAGCTCATGTGTCCTGAGGTCTTGAAAAGTGTCTTCCTGTACATCTATGAGTTGTGTATCTTCCTCATTTCATGAGGAAAACCAATAGCTATAGATTAACTTACTGAATACTTTCCCTAAAACACCTTCTTCCAGGACATTCACCAGTACACCAAGGTAAGAGAAGACAACGTAAACAGAATGTGAATTCTGGAACCACAATGACCCATCTTGGCCCCAGAGGAAGGCTGGCCATTGAGTCCAACCAGTGCCTGAAAAGAGCGCCTCCCCATCTCCAATGAGAGGGAAGCCATCTCTCCCAAGCAGCCACTTTGCCTGTCCAGAGTTCTAGTGGGCAGGAAGTTTCCCTGCTTCCTAGCCTAAACTGACCAGAGACAGCACCACAGACAGGGCTGTCAACTCAGGCAGGGTGATACATCATCCTTCTCCTTCCTCTCGGAGATGTACAGGACTGTCGGGTAGAATGAAGCATGTGGCCAGTTCCGTCTGCCTGTCTTTGTTATAAGAGAAAGCATTATAATATCCAGAAAAGACCATATAAAACAAAAGGTGATTTTCAAAAATAACAAAATACTTTTAAAATACATGCACCAGTAAATTAAATTGAAAACAGAATACCTGTTTCTCTACACCAGTGTCAAATTCAAATAGAAACTGGGCCACTAAACCAGAAGAATTCCTGTGGGCCATACAGTGACTTAGAAAACCACATATTACCATTATCTACCCTCTACTGTATTTTTATTTATTTTGTTAACTATTTCTCAATTACATTTTCATCTGGCTCAGGCAAATGTCTGACACCTTGGTCCTAAGAGACCACAGAGCCCCAAATGCCACTAGAGCAAAAGTAGTCAGCCCTGTTACACCTGTAGCCTGAGTACAAAAGTCAGGCAGAGCCCTCTGGGAGGAGCACCTTCTCCTCCTGCTCTCAAACCGCTGTAGATCATTTAGAGATGAGGCAAGGGAGGGAAGTGAAAGGAATTTTCAGGGGTCAGGACGTAAGATACCTCTGGCTTCAGTCTCTGGTAATCTACTGGCAAGGAAGCCCGCTGTTGTTTTGACATGTGCCACTGTTTGCTGAGTGAATGAATAAATTAATTTTGCGGTAGCCCCAGAGAATAACTTAGTTCTGGCTTCTGAAGTCCCCCAAAGTCACAGAGACTTAGAAAACCAGTCAGAATGGTGTGGAGCTCCTGTGCACGTGAAATTAAGTGCCTGTGTCTTGCAACATGATACGAGGGCAAGAAGGCTGGCCCTGTAAGCAAGAAACCTACTCCTCCCCTCAGCCCAGCCAGTGTGACTGGTAAATCACCCAGCCTCAGTTTCACCTCCTGTAAAGAATGGGGTGAGAATGGCCAGCCTCTGAGGTCCCTTCCGGCTGTCTGATCCTCTGCCTCCGGCAGGAGTGGCCCCTGCTAGACACAAGCAGGAATCTTTTGAAGCAGAGGCCCATGAGAATATGGTATCAAGAAAGCTTACAGAGTATTCTTTGCTGCTGAGTTTTAGCCCAGCTGCCAGACTGGACTAATTTCTGTCTGCCTACAAATTGTGAGTGGGGGCGGGTATCTGTGAGGACCAAGGCCCTGAGCACCACCGCCTGGCAACCTCTGACTGACAAAACCCAAACCTCAAACCGCTCTCTGGCTCCCCCCAGCCCCAGGACCCATGGGGTAGAACCAAGCTGGCTGTGGCCTCCCTCGAGTAAATAGTTCAGTTTGTTGAAACTTCATCTCCTCTCAAGCATCTCGGATCTCACCAGTGGGAAACCCTCCACCTCAGGACCTGCTCTCCCAGGGCGCAGGAGGGAGCTGGAAGCAGCTCGGGCCCTCAGACGGAAGCCGGCAGCAGAAGACCACAGGCCTCATGGGGGGAAGTTACAGGGCAATGAAGCAAGGGATGTGGACCGTACAATAACGGCACTGAGAGGCCAGCCTCCTAGAAGCCCACAGGGATCCGGCTCTCTGGCCCGAGTTCCTGTGACTTCCTGCCAGCGCTGCCTTATCAACAAACACCTTCACTGGCATTTCCTGAAAGGGCCAACGAGAGTACACAAAGAACACTGGGCCCAAATCCTGGCTCTGCCAGTACTAACGGTGTGAAACAGACTTCAGGTCTTTACCTGTCTCGGCCTCAGTTTCTTCACCTGGAAAATGGTGACAGCAACTACACTACCTACTTCACAGGGTTATTATAAGCGAAAGACAGACAGGGGCCGAGCTCATGATTTCTTTGGCATTGGGAATGAGTACGAGTCAGAAGTAGCACTTGAACTCGGGTCCTCCTGGCACCCAGGCTGGCTTTCTGGGTGCTTCATCATGCTGCCTCTATTATGTTAGGACCTTGTAAATGTTAAAGGGTGACGTCACTATGCCGTTATTATTAACCCCCTGGAAAATACTATTCACGAGTAAAAAATGAAAGGAATCCAAAGGCTTGTAGATGCCATCACTGCAGCTAGGGAGGAGAGGATCTGGTGCCAGCCTTGGTGGCAAGAACTCAGTTCAAACTCTTCCCTGGGGACCTGACAGCTGTGTGACCCAGGGCAAGTCATTTCACCTCCTCTAGGCCTCAGTTTCCTCAACTGTAAAATGGGATAATAGCAGCCCCTCCCTCCAGGGTGGTTGTGAGGATCAAATGAGAACACACGTAAAGCTCTTAGCATGGTGCCTGGCACACAGCAAACTATCAGCTTGAACTATTTTTATTACAAATCTTAAAGGGCTTGTAAATATTAGCTGTTAATATGATTACAAAACAGTGAGGAACAGTGGTGGGAAAGGCCGTTAAAGAGAGCTGGCAGGAGACCTAACCTGTTCCAAGGGAATTTAAGGACGAAATGGAAGGATGAAGAACGGAAGAAAAACCTGCACAAGGGCAGCTCCCATGTTTGGAAGCCAACATCCCAGGGCCAGACATGTCTATAGAGGAAGTGGAAATGTCAGCAAAGAAAAGAGAGATGGGGAAAAGCAGCTGGACGAGGCCAAGGGCACAGAGGGAAGTTCCCATGATGGAGGCAGGAATTTTGAGAGTCTCAAAGGGACTGAATCTCAAGGCATCGGAAGTAGGGAAAAACACCGAAGGTTTAAAAAAATAGACAAAGACTTACTATCCCCTAAGAGGTAAAACTAGCAAAAATCAACCCACATCAGAGAAGCTGTGCAGTGAGTGGCTGGAAGACCTACCTCTGACCCACCCTGGCCTCACCATTCAGCCTCCCAGAGGAGGGGCCACCTGAACTGCCAGAAGGAATTTCCTGACCGGGGAGCCTCCTACACTAGTGGAATCACAGGTCCAGATTCTGTCCTTATGGACCTATGGGGCCTTTCCCATCAATATACAGTTATATGAAAATATAACTGTGAAAATAGTATTTATGAGAACGATTTTACACGCATATTATCGCAGGTACCCTTGATAAGAGTGTTAGAACAGGTAAATTTTCACCAGCTATAATCCACAGCAGATCACATCTTTACCATCACACGGTTGACTGAAAAATGTAGAAAATGTTCAGGATTCCACTGCAGTTGTCTGCTGACCATAAAAAAGCATTTGATTTGGTAAAGCAAAACACCACCTAAAGGTTCTCTTCCAACACGGTGGCTCCCATGCATGTGGCAAAATCCTTGAAAGACGTTGACAGAGGTAGTAACTACGTTTGATCTCTTCGATTATTAATATTAGATGAGGTAGGTGGTGCAGTGGATAGACTACCAGCCCTGGAGTCAGGAGGACCTGAGTTCAAATCTGGCCTCAGACACTTACTAGCTGGGTGACCCTGTGTGGCAGTGGACAGAGTACCAGGCTAGAGTCAGGAAGACTCATCTTCCTGAGATCAAATCTGGCCTCAGACACTAGCTGGGTGGCCCTGGGTATTTTAGGGTTAGTCACTTAACCCCATTGCTTCAAAAACAAAACAAAACAAAAAACATTAGATAAGGGACAAGGCATAAAGTCAAAGAAGTAAATGTCTTACTGTCATAGAGGATACTCAGTTCAAGCACCAGTAAAAGAGGGGATCCCTATTGAATCTATAGTACAGATGGTGAGTACGGTTCTCCAAACACTCCTGAATGTGGACACTACTGTGACCACAGCATTAAGAAGCCACTGAACATCTCAGAGCCTCCTAAAGGCAGATCTATAATCGCTCATAAGAATCAAGCCCATCCACAAAGTAGATGGAAAATACCCAGGGACCAGACAATGACACGCAGCTCTTGGATGGTCAGCCCTGCTACAGTACACCAGTCTGGTGTGGGCCCTACAAGAGGGTAATGGGTTAAGCCCAGAGCTGAACAGGAGGAAGAGAAAGGGACAGATTGCTGCTGTTCTCTTAATGAGCCCAAGTTGCCCCCTGAAACAAAGACCTATCTTTTTTCCACAGAAACAGGCTTCTGGTGATGCTGTATTTTACAATAAGCTATGGAAATCTACAGTCTCCTAAGAATACAAGCTGAGGATCACTCAGAGGACAATGGAGAGGCCCACAGTGGGCCACAGAACTGTACAAGAGAAGCCTAAAGCTGTCCTCCAAGACCTGCATGATCAGGATTGGGCCGGTCATGTAGTGAACCCAAGCGATAAGCCATGAACAGCCCACATGCTTCACCGGAATTCACACGATGTCGAATGAATGAATGAGCGGAACACTTATTAAATGTTTACCAAGGGCAAAGGCTGTCCAGGGCAGGGTCCAAGTATAAGAGGGAGTCCTTAAGGATAGTGAGGAGGATGTCCAGAGGCTCTTATTCCAAGGATAACACTAATCGCTGCAAGAAGCCCCAGAAGGTCTCAGAACTATCTAAATGAGATCTCAAGTAAGTGCCTCAGCACTTGGGGCGGGCTCCCAGCACAGATAACTGTTGCAAAGGACAGGCTGAACAGATGAATTTCAGTCTGTATCACTGAAGAGTAGAAAAAAGACTGGAGAATACCCCACATTACAACTTGGGTGTGCTGAGGGCCTGGGGCAGGGGTGTTAGAGGGGATGATCTCAAGACTCTTTCAATTCTATGTTCAACTACCGCCCTCACCCACTCCCCAAAGATAAATGCACATAGATAGATAATAATGATGAATGGACCGTACAGGGCAGCTAGGTTGGACAGTGGATAGAGTGCCAGCCTTACCCAGACGCTAGCTGGGTGACCCTGTGTGAGTCACTTAACCCTGTTTGCCTCAGTTTCTGAGCTCATATGGAAAATGAGCTGGAGAAGAAATAGCAAACCACTCTAGTATCTTTGCCAAGAAAACTCCAAATGAAGCCAGGAGGACCTGAATTCAAATCCGACCTCAGATCAAACACTTGACACTAGCTGTGTGACCCTGGGCAAGTCACTTAACTCCAATTGCCTTAAAAAAAACTCCAAATGGGGTCATGAAGAGTCAGACACGACTGAAAAACAAGTGATTAACAACTGATTATATACCTGTCCACAACTCACTATGAGCTCAAAGAGATCCTTTTTGATCAGAGTGCCCGGTATATCGCCAGTACTTAATAAGCATCTGTTGAATAAATAAATGAATTTCAAAGGGAAGTAGAGACTGGGACAGCTTGAACATTTCATAAAAGGAACTAGTGTGGGAGCTAGGTCAGAATGCCCAAGAAGCTCCACTGCCCCTTATAAGTAAGCCCTCACTCCAGGGGACCCAGGCAGCAGTGATGGTCGAAGGCTGTACAGGGTCCCAGGGGCCTTCGGGGAGAGAAGGCCTGCCCCAACTCTGAGGCTACAACGTGCAAGGAAGGGCTAAGCCCTCACCAACTCAGCCAGCACTAGCACACACACACTATCAGAACATCGCCCGGCAGGACTCCGCTTTAAGATACACGGGGGGACTAGAAGCGGGGGTGGCCTGGGCCGGGAAGTCTCCAAAATCCGAGCCTCCCATCTTGTTCCTCTTCTCCTTTGGGTAAATGCCCCCCACCACGGACCGGGTGCTGCAGAAAAGCATTTGCAGTAAAGACCACTGACGGGGGGGGGGGGTGTTCCCGTGTCCGCACATGGACAACGTTCCTAACGGCGGATCTACTCGGGGAGGGGAGAGAAGGGGGGGCACAGCCAAGGGAGCAGAAACGGGGTGACTGCTAGGGCACAGGGAGCCGGGGGACTCCCACAGGGCAGGGAGATTCTACTCGGCTCCCCTCCAAGAGGGATGACGGATATAATTAACTTGCTCCGAGGTTGTAAATTAACTCAAGGAAATGGACTCCACCTCATTTTCCCCCAGGAACAGATCTCCCCAGCCGGCTCGCATCTTTATAAACAGGCATTATTAGGGCGTGGGGAGGGGGGGAGAAAAGCCCGGAGTGGCCTGGGCAGACCCCAGCCCACTTCGGGGCGAAGGGGCAAGGCGAGAGCGGCCCCCTGCCCCCACCCGCCGAGTCTCGGCTCTACACCTGCCAGAGGGTCCCTCGGACCCGGGCGGGGACGAAGCCGACGGCCAGGACGGGATGGGGGGCGCACATGGAGCGGGTGTCCGGGGCGCGCCCATCTCCCAGCAGGCCCCTGGACCCCCCCAAACCACCGGGATCCGGTGTGCCCGCCCGGGCCCCACCACATGGGCGCCTGGGGGTCCCCCCCGAGTCCCGGGGGGCTTCCCTGCTCCCCCCGCCCCCTCCTCTGCACCCGTCCCAAACACAAGTTTGGCCCCACTCCATTCCACAGGTGCCGGGCGCGGGGAAGTCAACCGTGCCTGCCCTCGAAGGGCTTCCATTCTAGGTCCGGAGAAGCCAGAAGAGAGCGTGGAGGCTGCAGGGTGCAAGCACCCCTCCCCGCTCGCATTTACAGATAGGGAAACTGAGGCGGGTCAGGGGGTTCGCGGAGCTCGTCCGTGTCAGGGGCGGGATTCGAACTCGTCTCCAAGCGGCGCTTCCTCATGGTTCCTCGGCGCAGCCTAGAGTGGAATCAGGAGGGCTTCCCGGAGGAGGGCCGGGCGCGGGGGGCGCTCACCTTCACGTGGTTCTCCACGGCCGCGCGGCCGGCCAGACGCTTGGCTTCCTCGGTCTTGGACATGGTCCGGGCAGCGGGCGCGGGAGCGAGCAGGAGCGGGGGCGCGGGAGCGGGTGGGGCGCGCGCCGGGGCCGCGGCCGAAGCCACTATGTGTCCGCTCCCACCGCCCGAGGGCTGGCGCTGGGGCGGCGGCACGTGCGGCTCTCCCGCGCGCCAGCTCCCCCCGCCCCCCGACGAGGCCCCGCCCCCGGACCCGGCCCGCCCGGGCAGCGGGGCCAGGACCCGCCCGTAGAGCGTGCTGAAGGGCCCCGGGCGCTGCATCCCTGCCGCCGCCGGCCCAGCCGCGTCTGCCTCAGCTCGCCCCGCCCCAGACCGCCCCGGAAGTCGGGCCCCGGCCGGAGGGAGGACGCCGAGGGAGCGGGCCCTCCTGGGAAATGTAGTTCGGGCGAGGGGCAGGACCCGCGGCCTCCTGGAGGCTCGGACTACCAGCGCCAGAAGGCAGCGCGCCTGCAACCTCGCAGCCAGCCGGGGCACGCCCCGGCTTATCCTGTCCCGGTCTGCGAATGCCGGCTCACGTGCTTGGGCCCCACAGGTGCGTCGGCGCTGAAGCTGCGCTCCGACTCGGAGGCGGTGTGCGCTCCGAGTGACTGGTCAGTTGTCACCACGCTGCGGGGGGCAGAAGGGGGACGTGAAGGAGGGTCCTGTGATGCAGCCTCCCGTGTCTACCCCCCCTCCCCACTCCCGCGCATGAAACGGTGAGCTCCCTGAGGACAGACACTGCTTCGGCGTGCCCTCGGTGGAAGGAGCACTGGAGTGGAACAGCACCAGTCACGCACCCTGAGATAACCATTGTAAAGCTCAGCACCGTGCGGTAGAAGCGTTAACGACCTCTGTCTGCCTCAGTTTCCTGCTCTGTAAAATGGAGGTGATGACAGCGCCTACCTCCTAGGGTTGTTTCGAGAATCAAAAGAAATGATACCACAGTGGTTGGCGCTGATATCAACCTCTCAGCCTCAGTTTCCTCATCTGTAAAATGGGGGCAATAGTGCCTACCTCTCAGGGTTGTTGCCAGGACAAAAAGAGATCACATCTGCAAAAGTGCTGTAGAAATGCTCACTATTATTATCCCAGGCGGTTTGTTGACTGGAGTTTAAATCCCATTTCTGTCATAGCTAACGTAGAGCACTTTATAAATGAATAGGAGAAAAGCATTTATTAAGCGCCAGGCACCATGCTTAAGGGCTGGGGATACAACAGACACAAGAACAGACTCAGTCCGGACCTCCAGGAATTAACATCCTAAGTGGAGCAGAATGCACGTGGCTGATAGTATTAGGGTGGGGTGGGATGGGGTGGGGACTGGATGGAGGTAATAGAATTCCTGACTTCCATCTCCCCAAACCCCCCCCCAAAAAAAGACCCATGGGTCTCAGTTTCCTCATCTGTTAAGGGAAGTGTGGTAAAAAGTGCAAAGAGTTGTCATAAGGATTAAGTGATATGGTGTTCATAAAGTGCTTTACAAACCTTAAAGCTAGCTGTCTTATTACTATAAAATGAAAATAGTTAACGAGGAGGGGGGACCTGGGGATCAGGCAGCATTTGGCGCAGTGGCATTAAGTCCCTCCTCCAGGACCAGCCACATTCTAGGGGGCTGAGAAATCTGGTAGATGTGATACCATCAGACCTGGCGGAAAGACTGCTACCCTACTGACTTGGAGAAGAAATTCTCTTTTTTCTTTATTGTTTTCAACATTCATTTTTTATTAGATTTCGAGTTCCAAATTTTTCTCCCTGCTTCCCATCTCTCTTCTCTAAGCAATGTGATATGTTATACATGTGCAATCACGTTAAACCTATTTTTCTACATTAGTCATATAAAGAAACAAAACTAGTACCAAAGGGAAAAGCAACCGGGACAGCAATGAAAACAACACGCTTTCCTTTGCCTTTAGACTCCGTAGCCCTTCTCTGGATGTGGACAGCATTTTCCACCAGCAGTCTTGTGGAGTTGTCTTGGATCTGAGAATAGCTAAGTCTGTCAAAGTGGATTGCCCAATGTGGCTGTTACTATGTACAATGTTCTCCTGGTTCTGCTCACTTCACTCAGCATCAGTTCATGCAGGTCTTTCCAGGTTTTTCCTGAACCTGCTCATCATTTCTTATGGAACAATAGTATTCCATTACATTCATATACCACAGCTTGCTCAGCCATTCCCCAACTGATGGGCATCCCACAATTTCCAATTCTTTGCCACCACAAAAAGAGCTGCCATAAATATTTTTGTCCGTGTGGGTCTTTTTTCCCCATTTTTATGATCTCTTTGGGATACAAACTTAGAAACGGCATTGCTGGATCAAAGGGTCTTCACGGTTTGATGGCCTTTTGGGCATAGTTCAAATTGCTCTCCAGAATGATTGGATCAGTTCATAACTCCACCAACAGTTCTTTAGTGCCCCAATTTTCCCACATCTTCTCCAGCATTATTTTCTTTTTCTGCCATATAAGCCAATCAGATAGGTGAGAGGTGGCACCTCAGAGTTGTTTGAATTTGCATTCTCTAATCAATAGTGATTTAGAGCATTTTCATATAACTATAGTTAGCTTTGATATCCATCTGAAAACTCTCTGTTCATATCCTTTGAGCATTTATCAATAAGGGAATGACTTGTATTGTTATACATTTGACTCAGTTCTCTATATATTTTAGAAATGAGGCCTTTATCAGAAACACTGGTTGTAAAATTTCTTTCCCAGTTTTCTGCTTCCCTCCTAATCTTGGTTGCATTGGTTTTGTTTGTGCAAAAACCTTTCAATTTAATGTAATCAAAATTAAACATTTTTTATTTCATAATATTCTCTGTCTCTTGTTTGGTCATAAATTCTTCCCTTCTCCATGGATCTGACAGGTAAACTATTTCTTGCTCTCCTAATTTGTTTATGGTCTCACCCTTTACATCTAAATCATGAGAAGGAGTTTTCAAAAAGGGATAGAGGATGAACCCTGCAAACTATAGACCAGGCAACTTGACCTATATTCCTGACAAAAAATCTAAAACACATTTTAAAAGGTTTATTCTAAATCTTTTTTAAAAATAATTTTTATTTCTTCAGCTCTGTTCAGCAGCACATGCCAAGCTGGTGAATATTGTATACTGGGAGTGAGTAACAGGTATATTTTATATCAGTTAGATATTAAACTAGATAGAGTGCCAGGCCTGGAGTCAAGAAGATCTGAGTTCAAATCCAGACTCAGACACACTACTTGTGTGACCCTGGACAAGTCACTTAACCATTCTTGCCTCAATTTCCTCATCTATAAAATGAGCTGGAGAAGGAAATGGCAAATCACTCTTGTGTCTGCCAAGAAAACCCCAGATGGGGCCACGAAAGGCTCGACACTGCTGAATTGACTCTCCAATAAGAACAAATGCCCTGCTGAAGGTTGGCAGGGCAGGATACTTGATAGGAAGGTGGGGCAAGAAGATGGTGTAGAGCTGAACAGGATCCCAAAGGGGTCAAGATAAGGAAAGGAAGAGAATGTAGCCAGTGCAGGGGTGATGGCATGAGGAAGAAATGAGAGGTGAAGGAATTGGAGATTGCGATGAGGAAGAATCATGTAAAGGGTCGCAAGGCAGAGGGAGAAGTAGAATGATGGTAGATTGTGATCAAATGAGGGAATTCCGAAGATCATGAACCTGGAAATTGAACACTAGTGGGAGATGGATAAGGTGGAGGACTTTTGTTGTTCAGTCATTGCAGTGCTGTCGGATTCTCCTTGACCCTGTTTGGGGTTTTCTTGGCAGAGACACTGGAGTGGTTTGCCATTCCCTTCTCCAGCTCACTTTACAGATGAGAACACTGAGGCAAACAGGTTTAGGTGACTTGCCCAGGGTTACACAGCTAGCAGGTGTCTGAAACCAGATTGGAACTCAGATCTTCCTGACTCTAGGCCTGGCACTCTATCCACTGCACCAAGTAGCTGCCCTGAAATTCAGAGGCCTTGGGTTCAAATCTTAGTTCTGCCACTTCCTGTTTTTTGGGTTTTTTTAATTGGTCCAGTCATTTAAGCTCTATGGGCCTTGGTTTCCCCCTTTGTAGGACAAAGGGTTGGACAAGATGGCCTCTAAATGCTAAGATCCTGTCCCCTAATATCATCTCTGACCATCTTGAGTTGGACTTCTCACTGCTTCTAGTGGTCCAGCCATCATGCTACTGTGGTGTTTAAAAAGTTCAAGACATAAGTTCCTGAGGAATTATTCATTTTACTAATAAAAGGAATGGTCATTTGGCCATCTATCAGACCAAAGATGAATCATGGCAGTGGGCTCACAGTTTATATGCCCTTGGAAGAGTGGGTGTTCTGAGGGTGGCAATCAATTCTGATTGATTAACAATTAATGAAAAAAAGTTAATATTAAGATGAAAGGTATTTTAACGAGGGCCTAGGGTGTGTGTGTGGGGGGAATATAACTGATTACATCATTTACCTCTAAATTGCCCAGCCTTGGGGATCTAAGCAAAGAATGTATCCCCACCCAAACCTGTGTAGAGCAGATGGGCTTGATTAGATTCCTTGTAAGATTGGACAGGGTCTAAACAAGATGGAGGAGAAAGTTAATTCAATCTCTTATCAGCAATGCCCTTCAGAGACTGAACAACCTACAGAGTTCCAAAAAAATCCTGGTCCTAATTTGATAACTGATGATTAATATGAGAGAGAAATAATAATTTCTCTCACTACCTGGTACTCAGATTGGGAAGGACCACCTGGAGCTTCATTGCATGGCCATGGCAATGGGCAGGAGGGAAAGAGGAGAGAAGGATCTCTGGCTCTTCGGGATCAGAAGTAGCCATCTGTCTGTGGGCGTAGATGGTGCAGACTGACCGTGGTACCACGTCATACTGTCCAGTCTGATATTGACTGTGGATACCAGGAGATGAAAACAACAGGGGTGATTCCATGGAGCTGGGCGTGCGTGCTGGCTCTAGAGAAATGAACCTGTTTTTTGGCTTCTTGCTGAGTGAGGCACAAGGTCTTCACTTTGCTGAGATAATGCAGCAAATGGAGTCTAGATGGTGATGGGGACAGAGTGCTGGGCCTGGAGTCTGGAAGACCTGAGTTCAAATTTGGCTTCAGATACTAGTTGTGTGACCCTGGGCAAGTCATGTAACTGCCTCAGTTTCCTCAACTGTAAGATGGGGGGGGTGATAATAGTAGCACCAACCTCCCAGCGTTGTTGTTTTTTGTTTTTGTTTTTGTTTTTTGCTAGGCAGTGGGGTTAAATGACTTACCCAGGGTCACACAGCTAGTGAGTGTTATGTGTCTGAGGCCGGA